ACAGTCTCATGCCCAGGCAGCCATTAACTTAAAAGGCAGCTTGGAAAAGGAATTCTCTTCAAGTCATCCATGCTGTTAATCCATTTTCAATTCAGATTTTCTTTATTTTTTAAATCTTACCGATGCCCAGCTTTCATAAAGGCACAATCCAGGTCTCACCCACCCAGACAAAACAAAGGAAAAGTGTGAAGTGAATATGCCAAGCATAGTGAGAACAACTGGAGGTCTTCTTTTGTCCTTCCAACAGAAGGACTTTTTATTTTTCTCCCTAACCAAAAAGTGAATGGGAATGCTGGACCAGGAACTAGGGGCTTGGGTTAACTGGCACATTCAAGGTTAACAGGAGCGGGATTCACAAGACTGAGGTTTAACCCATTTTTCACTCTCTGGAGATAATTCTCAAAGTCTAAGCTTTGATGCCTAGGGAAACTCAGGGAGACTTGATGGCTTTTGCCCTGTCAGTGGAGACTGGCAAGTGCTTCTCAGAGTTGTTTCTGTGACCCTTTCTCTCCATTAATTAGTAGAGTTAAAGAGTATAGTAATTTCAAAATATTCTAATACCATACTTAGATATCAAAAGTTACAGGCAGGGAGGGAGTTTCTCATCAGAAAACTGAGAACAGTATTTCTTGCCTTCTCCCTCCGAATTCCCTTTTATTTCATTGCCTAGACTGCAAACTCTCTGAAGAGGCTGTCTTTCAACATGTACATCTCACTTTCCAACAAGACTCTTATCTCAGCAGCGATAACAACACAGTTCTTTACATTGTTTCACGTAAACTGGCCCTTAAAAAAAGAAAAATATATCAGTGCTTGCTGGCCTGCTTGATGCATGCAACAGAAGCAGCAATAGCTCCTTCCAAAACCCCACAAGTGCACATAGCACTTTCTCTGGGTTAACACCATGCATCTTTGATTCTGGTGACAATTGTAGACTGGAGTCTAAACAACCTGGCAGCCTTGCAGAGCTTGGTCCCTCCAGAGGAGGGGTGAGGATCATCTGCTTGCACTGCAGTTGGCTTCCAGTTCAAACAGACAAACTCGGTTTCCAACTGTTAGTCCCTCGTTCCTCATAATTGTGTTTACCTTCACTGGAAATAAAATAAATAGGAAGGCAACAATCTGATCCAATTCCATAAAGCCAGCATCAGAGTAATCCCGGACACATTGTTAATTTATCAACAGCTTCAGGAAATACCCTGGTTAATTGGTAGGAGCTCCCATTGTGAAAATCTTTTTGGATGCCCCGGAAAGCAGCTCCATGGCTGGCAAGTCAAGTAGCGCTTCCCTTGCCCTCCAAATTAGCTGGATACCCAAAGGAAATTACTAATCTCTCAGTTCAAAACCAACACACACACAAGTATAATGAGCACTGTTTTCCTTTGTGGAAGAACAGATCATCAATGGCTTGAAGAGTGGAGAGCATACATTTCTGTTAACACTACCTCTACTGTACTGTTTGGGCAAAGCTCTTCCAATGTCATCACCTATACTGTTCTTACCACCAAGATGAGGTATTTCATTTATTACATTTTTAACCTGGCTTGAAACCTCTGCCAGAAAGCAAATACAAATACAATAATACATAAAACCAAACAAGTACTAACTTGTCCTATCTGCTTGCAAAACATCATTTACCACTGCAGAATTTGACTATCTACTGTGTAAAATCAATGCCAATGGTGAAACTCCCTAGTTAAAATGACTTGTAAAATGTCTTGAATTTCCTTTTGGTTTAAAATTTCTGATAGGGATGACATTCACTTAGGGTTTTTTCTAGTTTTCTTTCAGTTACCCATTTTCTTTTACTTCTGGCTTTTACTGTTGACTTGTTTCCTTTACATATTAGGGGCTTTGTTGGAGGAAGTGCTGCAGAAACTCCCAAGGCCCCTTGAAGAGCATCTGAACATCTCTAAGGCAGAGCTCCAAATGTCAAAACATCTTTGTGACCTGAATTTCTCTCGAATAAAATCTTAAAGCAGTTTCTGCAATAAAGCCAAAATCTTAGAGCAACAGGAACAGAGGAAGCATGAGGGCTGTCATTTCCTCTAAGAGCAGCAAGATAATAATTCCTATTAACACCTCCCAGAGATACAGACCCTTCCAGTGGGCCATATGAGACTCTATTTCATTATTTTTTGTGCCTGTAAGACTAGGCACAATATCAGTCAACACAATATGAAGGAATTCGCTCCTGGTGCTATCTTGTGGGGTATATGTGCATTTGAGACAAACTTTAGTGCTTTTACTATGCACTTACAGCCATAAATTTCACTGCTGTACTGTATATCAGAGAAGTGGCAAAAGTATTACTAGCTTCAAAAAACCCAAACCAGGATGTAATCAAATCTCAAATGCTATATCAACAGTTTCAGTTATGGATAACTGATAGTTAGTTCCTAGTCCTCTGTATTAATGACAGCTATTCTGTAAGGTTCAGCAACACTGACACCTAGAATGGCTGGATTATATGCATAAAGGTAGAATTACAGAAACACCTGCACTGTCTGAAAGGATACTATCACCTTTACTGCAGGCTAGATTCTAGGAAGTTCAAACTAAGCAAAAGCTTGAAATATTTAATGACTATGCTTACAAAAAACACTCTTGAAAAACAGCTGTTCTAACCCATTTTCCAAAGGTCATTCCAATCTGCTTTTAGGGTTTTTTTGTTTGTTTGTTTAAGCATATTTGGTCTGTGAAAAGATGAAAAGCTCCATGATTTTGGTTCCCTTTTCAGTCAATAAAAACTCAGTGGGAGAGAAGCAGGAGGAAAAGCAGTAGGATGCTTTTCCTCTTACAACAGTAAGACTTGGGAGACATGGGTTCAGTGCCTGGCTCTGACACAAATTTCCTGTGTGACCTCAGGCAAACCATTTGGTGTTTCAATTATTTATCTGTAAAGCCGGGATAACCACTATCCCAGACAGGATTTGCTTGGATAACATTTATTAACATGTCAGAGGTGCTCAAAAAGTAATGTATTAGACTCCTACTGACCATATACCCCAAATCAGTGGTTGAAATGACCCAGGGTATGCCAGTGTATCATGCAGACATCGCTCATAAAACCATACTTGCCTACTACCACTCTTCAGCCTTCAATGCAAAATAAGTCTCACAACAGCAGTTTGAAATTTCTATAAAGACAAACTGCAAAGTAGAAGAAAGAAGTCAAATAATGTGGGGGGAAATGCAACTTGTTCTTGGAGAAAAGGGATACAAACCCTTCAATTTATTAGCACAGTCCCCAGGACAACAGCACCCAGCTGGACATCCTTTAAATAAGCCACCAGAGGCACAACAGCAGTGAAAAACAAGAGCAAGATTTTGCCTTGTTTTTCTAACAGCTATTCAAAACCATATAGTCCATTCCATGCTTGCCAGTGTAACTTAGGGTCTTATGTAGAAATGATGGCAAACTATGCCTGCAAGTTAGCCCTTGCCCACTTGGTGGGTAGTGTACACCTCAGCTAACTCAAATGTGCAAAAAAGGTGTCTTGTGTAAGACAATTTGTCCAGACTGCTGGAAGAGCCAAGACAGAGAAACAAGAAATGCCTAGAATGAATTCTTCACACCCTAAGTTAGATAGGGCTGAGTTCCTTTCTCTTGGCTATATAGGAACATGTAGAATGACTGACTTTAGAGGAGACACCAACATTTGGGCAGACAAACTCTGTTAAGGACACCACCTCTCTGCTGCTGCTGTGAATGCTCTCTCCCACAGCACACAGAGACCAGGGAAGGGACAAGGAAACAGGTCACGGTCCTTTGAGAGACAAGGTGTTGAAGGGAAGGTAATCTTCTGCCTACAAGGCTGGACTAAATAAAACATTAAAGTGCAATGCCACGGAAAATGAGACATAGGCTAGAGAATTAATTCAGTCTACTTGGAGAATTGACTCAAGTCTATACCATACTGGTGCCTCATCCAATATCCCAAATCTGTTTCTCAGTGATTCTGTTGTGCCCATCTGTAAATATGTATATATAAATATATATATATGTATATATGTATATATATATATTTATCTCATACCTTTCAACATCACAGATCTTGTAAATCTGCTTAGAAAGCTCTTATTGGAGCTATATTTACACAGATTCAGCAACACAGTAACCTGCATATGAGGGATGATAATACTTTTCAGCCAGAAGGCTAGAGAAGTAGCTAAGAACAAAGAAAGTGTAATACTTCTTTTGAAGTAGCCCAAAAAGCTGGTTCCATCTCACAAAGACAGATTACTCTGAATTTCAACAACAAATTTACCTCAGTAGTGAGGTTTCACTCCCTTGGCCACCACAGTATAATGATGATATTTTAGTGATTTAACAAAAGCTTTGAAAGTAATAAATAAATATTAGAAATGAAATCGACAAGTGTGTCTCATTTACCACGATTTATTTTGATTTTCTTTGTAGTTGATATGACACAAAATATGACACAAAATCATATTTTGAAAAACACTATGTTGAAAGAATTAATTTCTCTGTTCCTTACATTTGTTAACACTCAAAAAGAACAAAGTACAACATGGACTATAGAAAAACAGACACTGAGAATGTATTCAGACCTAGCTAGTGTTTTTTCAGATAACCCTAGAAAAAAACAGGGAACGTGAGTCAGCTTGGTAACACATCCTGCTGATATTACATACACCATTTAATCAGGGAGGTCTGATTAAGACTCAATCCTCTCTGGAGGTGTGACTCAGGGAGTGTTCTACACATTTCCTTCAGGATTATTAGCCTGACCTAGTTTTACACTGCATCGTAGGAAACCAGGAACATGCAACTGGCTGCTTGCCCTAGGTGAGGGACAGCAGTCAAACAGTTGGAGGGGCTCAGCTGCTTACGATGATCTGGATGCAGATATAAAGAACCTTTTATTGTCTTAAAAAGCCACTGACTCATCTAGTTCTGCTGGAACTTTTCTTGGTTTAGTCATCGATAGCTCTCAGTGCTTCTCTGGGCTCAGAACACATCATAAGGTACTCACCATCATCTGCTGAACATGAAATATTTCGGCTCCAGTGGCAGAGAGGCGGTTTGGAAATGAAATGTCAAGGAAAGCTCCAGGGAGAGTGCTTGGTCCAGCGTTGTAAACCTGTAAGACAAAGATGCATATAAATGTATCAAAAAAATAAACTTACATGTATGATTTCTCATAAATGGGGAACTACTGTAGAACCACAGCTGGGAATATAGATAAATTCGAAAAAAAACCAAATACCATGCAAGTTTTAAAATGTCTTCCAACTAAGATTTCTTTTTTAAGTGTCAGGATTTAGCTTATCTAACAGTCTTTAGGTACAGTTCACATATCAAGAAGCAGTTTTGCAAGATAATTACCAGTCATCAATACAAATAGCATGAGACTCCCACCTTATATGCAGAGACACTACTAGGACTCTCTGAGCATTTTGGTAATACCATCCGGAAGACTAAGAAATATTGCTGTCTCAGTTAACATTCTCATTTCCATCTGGTAACCACTGCATTATATTCTGCATATGTTTTCCTTACGGAGCAGAAGCCAAAGTAATGATGATTGTGACTACCGGACTGCGGGTTTGCTGAATGAGTTGCCAGGAAATGCATGTGAACAGCTTCCATTCAAGTTCTGGGGTTTCCAATTAAATGAAACTCTTAGTGGAAAACATTGGCTTTCTATCAAACCTCCCATAAATTTTCAGCAAAAGCTCAAAGAATTTTCAGTCCACCACTGAAATGTATTCAGTGAAAATTCCAAAATCTGTGGGTTTTTTTCCGAAAAGAAACAATCCATGGAAAAATTTCAATGAAAATAAGTTTTCATGTCTATCTACATTTTTTCATTAGGAAAAATATTTCCTGGTTGTTTCTAACAACACATATAAGTGCAGACAGTAAAAACATTAAGTCCAGTAGAATATTTATCTGCACTGAGACAGTACTGTCAAAAGATGTAGCAATCAGTCGATTGTGTAAAGTACAAATATTAAAACCAACAGGTTTTCATTCTTCATACACTGTTTGTATCTGAAGAAATGTCCGACTGATAAAGAGAATCATTTCACAATGCCAAATCCTTTCAAAAACCCTGAGGCTCCAGGCAGGGAGAGAAATCCTACTATAATGGAGCATGATAAATGCTGCATGAAATACAAACATAATGTTTCATGTTAGACATTTAAAAACTTGATTATCTCACTGAGATCAGATATAAGATTTAATGCAGAAAAGACATTTCCATTGCACATGTTGTACCCCCCCAAAAAAGCTGCACAGATCTGTTTCCTTACCAACATTGGACATAGTATAGATTCCCACATATAAAAACTGCTATAAAGCCCCATATTTTTGTAAATCATCTCTTTTTCTTGGTTAAGAAACTATTCTCTCCATCTGGAGAAGTTTAATAAATTGCAGGCAAACCATTAAAAACAATTAAGCAAACAGTGATACAAACCATGCTTTCCCCATTATGAAACTCTACCCTTTCTCTCTGACACACACAGTTATGAGGTTTACCATGTTACTGGGGAGCAGATCTGTGACTTGTTACAGGATAATTTTCTACTTCTATATGGAAATAAATTATTAATATTGCAACTTGTAAGCATGTGCATGAGAGACAAGAGGATGAGGCAGGACAAATGGTGGCTCTGCCAATACATAGATTGTCTCTCCCTTACCTGTTATCACTTTATTTTATTTATCTAGTTAAAGCATCAGGACATCTGTTCTTTATCTGGTTTTAACCAATAACTGGTTGGGGG